GTGCAACAATGAATGAGTGGAAGCCCAAAATCTCTGTAAATGTTTATGAAAATTAATAAAATATAATTATAGAAAAAAAAAAAAGAGATGAGTAAAAATAGTTTTAAAAAAGAGAAAGCAAATACACAAAAAGCAAATCAGATATAGATTTAGCATATATCTTTTTGTTATGTACCAAGTCAACTATGATTCATAGCAACCCTATACATACCAGTTTTGAACTCTGCATAAATATAGCACTACAAAAAATAAAAAAGTCCTCTCAATTTAAAAAAAGGATCCCCAAGATATTTAGAAATTTGGCACATCAAGTACTTCTGTAGGTACAATTAAATGTAGGAATAAAAACAGGATTATTGAAAAAAGTGTATTTCTGAAAAATTACTCAGATTTCCTCTCACTCCTAACAAGAATTTTTGGCACTGGCAGAATGACTCATAAATAAATGATGGTGGGAACATCATACTAAAAATTTGGCACAAGTGAAAATCTAAACAATGAATGCTGAGACTCCTTGAAGGCCCCTTTCCCACAGTGGGTTTTCACACTGTTGGCAACCAGCCAAGCAGGAGAACCCTCTGGAAGAAAATCACAATTTCATGACAAGGATCGAATAACATTTGACAGTGACGCATATTTCACCCTTATTACTTTATGATGAAGTCCATTTACTCATAGTTGAAAAGTTTCACACACCTATAGACAATCTGATTATAAAGGGGAATTGAAAGACTATCAGGCACTTACATAGAAAATGTCTAAAATACAGCAACAAAGAAATATGCAGAACAGATCATTCAAGAGGCTGGACTTTATGAGGAGGAATGTGACATAAGGATTGGAGGTAAACTCATTGACAACCATCGATATGTTAAGTGACATTGCTTGCTCAAACTGAGGAGAACATGAGGCTGCAGAAAGTCAAGAACTATAGTCTTCAATATGGGTTGAAGCTCAACATCAAGAAGACAAAGATTCTCACCACTGGGCCAACTGGTAGCTTAAAGCTAGACGGAGAAGAGATTATCACAAGCTTCAGCTTTCTTAGTTCCTTGGTTACAGTTAACACTCTTGGCACTAGCAGTTAGGAAATCAAAAGACAAAACTGCATTGGGAAATTCTGCTGTCAGACATCTCTCTAGAGTACTGAAAAACAATGATGTCAGTCTAGTAAGGTGCGCCTGATTCAGGCCATGGCCTTTGCCATTACTTGCTATGTGTCAGAGAACTGGACAATGACTAAGGATGATAGAAGAACAACCTATGCCTTTGAGTTGTGGTGCTGGAGAAGTGTGCTGAACATACCGTTAACTGCCAGGAGAACAATCAGGTCAGTCCTGGAGAGGGTAAAACCAAACTGCTCCCTGAAGAATAGGATTATGAAGCTCTGTCTCATATACTTTGGGCACATGGTCAGGAGGAACCAGTCCTTGGAGAGAACTCATTCTTAGAAGGGCAGAGGGCCAGCACAAGATAGGAAGACTCAGAATGAGATGGAATGACTCAGTAACTGGAGAAATGATATTAGGTCTGTTGGAGAGGATGAGATTGGCTCAGGATAGACCAGAGTTCAGATCTATTATACATGGAGTTGATATGAGTCGCAGACAACTTGACATGTAGTACATAACAACAACAGCAGCAGCAACAAAGAACAAACTAAATGGGGAAGAGAAAGGCAACTTGGAAAGAAACTTTGGAGAAAAAGGAAAACCTATATATGTTGTGTACCATGGAGTCAGAACCAAGCCAAAACTGATCTCTTTTTTCCCCCCAGCGGCTGTAAATTACACAGGAGACTGTCATCCTTCTCTCGTGGAGCAACTGGTAGATCTGACCTGCTTGCCTTTGATATGGCAGCCCAGCTCCTTTATACTAGGCCACCAGACCTCCTCTGAAATACACACACACACACACACACATAAAATTCTTTAAAAGTCATATATATATATATATTGTTGTTAGATGCTATCAAGTGAATTTAACTATACAATTCACAAGGACCCTATGAACAGCAGATCCAGACCCTGCTCTATCCTCACGATCACTGCTTTGTTCTCAAGTGCATTGTGGTAGTCACTATGTCAATCCATCTTGCTGAGGATCTACCTCTCTTTTCTGACCCTGTACCTTCTCCAGTATGATGTCTTTCCCAGCATGACTGTATACATACACATGCGTACACGCACATACGTATTCTCTTTCTCAAAGAGATATAACAGACACAGCAACCACAAAAAAAGAATAGGATATTGTGCAAAAGAAACAGAGAACAAAGATGGCTTTGCTGGAAATTAAAAGCATTAACAATAGAAATGCAATATAAAGAATGGAAATAACTGATCAACAAACGTGTAAGGAAATATGTATCCTAGAAAGAAGAAAGAGAACAGAAAATAACTACATGGAAGGGGAAGGGACAGGTGAGGAAGTAGACAAGAAGGGAGGGAGAACAGTTAAACAAAACATGTAGTCTCAAAGAAATGTGCTTCCTGTATTGTAAGAATCCAATTTATCACAAGAAAATAAAACCTCTGAAGGCACATGACTTTAATTTTCAAACATCTAGTCTAAAGATCTTAAATCTTTCAAAGAAAAATGGCAGTAATACGAAAAAGTACAGAGCAGAGCAGTAACCTGAAAATGACGAACAGTATTTGTCATTAATCTCACTAGGAAGTGACTGAAGGGTATGTGCCAACAAAATGAGGGAATAAAACAATAAAGAGAAAAGCATGGATGTGCTAAGGGAGAGAAGGAAGAAATGTGAGTAACAGTAGGTTTGGACTGTGAGTAACTTATTTTTTAATACTTCCCTGTATTTTTCCCTATTTCCTAATATGAACATAAATTACTAAAACTCTTATGCTCTGAAAAAAACTAATTTTCTGAAAAAATAGATTGCTTTCAAACATTTTTCAAAGAGGAATAATTCTTGTACCAGATCCTGGAGAAGAGTATGCCTCTGAAGATCCCGGGATATCCACAGCTGTTTGTCAGATGCCAGATGGGCTATAACACCTGCAGCTAAATAGCTGACCTCCATCTCTTTGCTATGGAGCAAACTGCTGATATGCTTCACCACATCTTCTGTCACCAGACTGGAAGACAGCTCCTTAACTTCAGCTACATTGTTCTACAGGATGGATGGAGTAGAAAATACCAAGGACAGTAAAGCATGAGGAACTGACTCTTCTCCATTCCTACTTCTTTTCTTCAATACATTGAGAACACTCACTACACCCAACCCTCCTCCCCCTTAATTCAGCTTAATACATACAATCCCTGTATCATCTAGTAATGACAATGATAACCATCATCATTAGTGTCAAATAATAACCACTAAGTGTCAGGCCTTTGCTTAGATAGACTTTTTATGGACCTTTACTCAATCCTAAAATACTCCTACCAAAAATTTCAAACCTAGAAACACTAGCCTGCCAAGTTCACAGTGTTTTGGGGTGTTTTTTCTTTCCCCTATACCGTTAATAACTGGTAAAATTGTAACACAAACTTAGCTGACTCAGATAATTAATATTATTATTTTTAATCCTTAACATGGAAAAAAGGCAGGTAGTATACAGATTTTACTAGTTTTCTATGCTGCACAAGAAATCACCAGAGATTTGGTGGATGGATTAAAATAACACACAATTTTCGTTTCATAGTTTCTATAGATCAAGAATCCAGGCACAACTTGGCCAAGCCTTCTACTTTGAGGGAGTAAATATGGTCAAAGCGTTGGCAGGCTGCATTTTCTTCTGTATATTTGACTGAAGGAAATTCTACTTGCAGCTGTTGGGAGGATGAATTTTTTTTGTTGCAGATAACAGTGTCTAGCAAAAAGCAGGTACTACATAAATACTAGTTTTCTTTGGTCTTTTCTTTGTTATTAGCAGTGCAAGATCTTACAGACCACATTACTAGAGTTCTCATAGTTTTCTTCTTTAAGTAATTAAGAACTAAAAAATTAAAAACAATTCACCTTACCAAAAGACCGAGAACTTTGCTCTGTATTGCTGAATCTGAAAAAGTCTGTCAAAAGAATACGCAAGTTAGTTACTTCATCCTAAAAAAAACAAATATAAACTTAACCCCATCTTTTCACCTCTAAAACATGGATGAATAATGCCAATCCCTCATTTTCAATAAAATGCTTGCAGGCAGCTGGAGATTCATCTGTAAGATTCCAAAGTGCCTTCAAAGTAAATAAGAGGGTGACATCATCTAAATTCTCAGCCATCTTCTGTTTCACTATTGCTAGAAGTTCCTAAAAATTAAGAGATAGGGAGTTAGAGACCATCAAGTCATAACCCACTTATACCTACCCCATAGCCAATTTTCAGAGGTAGTGAACGGAACAGGAGGAGACTGCCTATCTTTCTCCCACAGAGTGGCTTGTGGATTCAAACAACATGCCATCAAATTGGCAGTGCAGCTCCTTACCCCTAGGCCACAAGAGCCCCCTTTTAATAGCTTGAGTTTTGTGGTTTGGTGGTTTTTTTTTAAGAGGACTTTTAAATAGAAGAATAACTAATAAGATGTGTATGACAAGTTCAAAAGGAGAAGAGGGGAGGAAGAAAAATCACAGTTCGCAGAGTTTTGTGGGTGGATGGAGGGACTAAACAAATTAGAAATGATCCAGTGGGGGCCTGGGAAGTCAGGGTAATAGTCGGTATAGAGCAATGGTGATCAGATTTATAAAACACAATGGATCACATAAAACACAACATGTATCTCAGTCGCAAAAGGACAAATATTGCATGGTGCCACTGATGTAAAATGGGACGGATATCAGGGTTGTGGTAAGACTGAGAAAAACTGGATAAATTGCGTATACTGCACTAAAACAAATGAGGAAGAGAGTAATTTAAAAGCAATGTATGATAAGGTATTATGGTTATCACAAGAGTCCACAATTAAGGTTGCATAGTGGAATGTTCTTGGGGCGGTGGGAGGGGTGCAGGGGGATTGTGTAGAGGGAGATAGTGTTTATTTTACTTTTCAAAGAGAGGAGAGAACTGGGGTTAGGGGGAGGGCTGGGAGGGGAGAGAAGTGCAGCAATGAATGAATGGACATCCAAAATCTCTGTAAATGTTCATTAAAAT